GATCTTATACGAAAAACCCCCCCCCCCCCCACAATGCTAATGTAAGGACTTACCTTAAATGATGTCTCTTAATCCGATCATCTTCTTCCTTCCTGTAGTTTTCAGGAGTCCCTCCAGCGCTGTTGCGGGTCTCTGATCCATCGCTGACTCCTGTGTCTTAACTGGCACTTCCTGTCCCTCGGAGTCTGTGCGGGTGCACGCTGCTGCATTTACTTACCTTGTGTCTCTGCCCGTCTCCCGGCTGAAGATCTGAACTGCACATGCGCATGCCCCAAGATCCTTTGCGGCCGCCCCAGAATTTTCAGATGTTCGGACGGGAGCGTGCAGCGGAGACACAGATAAGTTTCAACCCTTTGAAAAGGTTTCATTTTTTTTTATCGTTTTGCATATATCTACTCTATTTGCAACAGTAATATGCAAAAACCGCTGAGGGTTTAATAACCCTTTAAGCACACGTTTGTTAGGCCAGCTCATATATTCGAATGTGGTGCCTAACGCACCAAAAAAAGGTTCTCCCCCCTTTTACCTTAGATATCGTATGTAATGTGATTGTCTTAATGTATGCTTAAAAAAAGGTTCATCTACATTTTTGCAGAACAGTGCACCACAACTCATGGTGGTACAATACAGTGCATTGTGGTATGCTGCAACACATGTCCATTGGCAAGGTGCCCGCGTGCTGTTAACGAATGGCACCGCAGCACAACAAAATGCAGTGCATGTTCTTTGTGCATTACCACAGCGCAAAAATGTCAACTCAGCTTCAAAAATGTTAAAGCATTTTGCACAGATAAAGTGTTCATTTACAGATCTACAGATCTATGGGGGGGGGGGGTTGGATCCAAAGAGAGGCAGTTGGGAGCTATGTGAACTATGCTGGACAGCTAGATTTGTAGGAAGCGGGGGCAGACATGGATTCCATATGGTGGATAATTGTCATAGCTCGTGTCCTGGTATGAGGAGTTGGAGAGGCTCTCATTCACGGATAAGATTGATACATATACATTGTCAAAGGGATGATTTGAATGCCGCTATGGCTTATTGACCTTTTTGTTGATTGTTGCAAGCCATAGACTTGGCAGCTTTGTTGCTTTCAATAAGTGCTAATTTACAAGTGTTTCCTGGGTTCAAGTGACCAAAAAATAAAAATTGTTGTTAAGAGAAATTGAAAATGTATTTTAGATTGGTATTAAGGTGGCTTCCATTTCTGGTTTTACTGTATTGCTACTGATCTTCTGTTTTAAGGATTTCCTGGAGTTAGCAATTAGCAAGTAAGCCTCTTCACAAGAAGTGTTAGCTGGTATCCAAGTCCTGATAAATAAATATTAGACTTATTGCTCAAGTTTTTGTATTGCTGTGCCCCGTTTAATTCTGTGTCCCCGGTGGTAAATTCACCCTCTGTGTTTGTTCTGGTAACCATTGTCACTGGGGGAGAAAGTGATTGGCAATTCAAAGTTTTCCAGTTGTCCCCAGGAAAGGAGGTGCGGGGAAATCTTCCAGTGGGGGCACCTATTCCGGGTATAATTTCCCCTTAATCTAGAAAGCTTTCCTCTCACTTCTTGTTGTGTCTCTGGGGCAGGATGTGAAATCTCCTCCAATGTGAAACAGACAACAACACTCTTAGGAGTTTTTCTCCTTATTTCCCTGTTAAATATCCTATTAAAAGTGTTTTATTATATCTATGCAATAAGTGCAAATAAATTATTTTAAGATCCAGAACATGGGGACATGACCTCAAACTAGCAGCGGGAACGTTCAAAACTAACCTTAGTATAAAAAAGGGGCAGACTTGATGGGCCACTTGTTTTTTTATGCCATGTCTCCTCTACATTGCTATGTTTCTATTTTTCCAGCCTGAGTACAACTAATGGTTGTTAGTTCTAAGATCAGAGACATGCTTGGCTAATTGCCTGTGTTTTATTTTGCTTTGTTGATAAAAAAATGAGAAAAAAAAGCATTTTGGATAGAGAAAAGAAAGGTTAGTACTTATGTTA